CATTTTAATTATTTCACCGATTTTACCATACCAGGTTACACTCGGGAGCAACCGGCCAAAACTAGTTTTAGCCGTGAATAAATCGAATCGTTTAACCAAGCGTAATCGATTGCACATATTTAGTTGTAAATGAAAAAGTTGTAACAAGGAAGTGATTTGAAAGAAATAAAACATTATTTTTTGGGGAAGCATAGATATACATAGTAACTGAAATATAGAGCAAAAGCTCGCATAAGACGATGTTATGCAGCAATTATCTGATCAACATTCGCCATGTTACATACAACGATCATACATATTTCAATGAAACATAGATTTATTCTTGTAATTAATTAAAATGTCAACACTTTAACCACTGTCGAGCGAACAGGTAAAGAAAACTGAATTTATTTAGTATTCTTTAAGTTACGTTAACAATATTTTTTTTACTATTCTAAGCCAGTGATTGACTACTATTCCACTAGATGGTTAGCGGTGCTGTAACCAAAGCGCACTGACTTAGCTTGGAAAAAGTCTTAAGGAAGGAAATAACAAAAATAACATCTAAGAGGCTTTAGTTTCATAATATATCTATATACTGTATAGAGTGAATATATCTGACTTATTGCACGACAAATATAAAATATAAAATTGGTAAAAAATATGAGGGCTTATGCGGCAATATAATTTCTAACTACTTCGCAGCGATATATTAAATAGTTATTACTACACAATAGGCACTTTATTAAAGGTTTTAATACTAGAGTCCGGTATTACTACATCGAAGATTTTATTGTAATGATGGAAGAATCTGTGAGGTATAACAATACAAATAATATTTACTATCGATATCTAATCAAACACATCACTAAATTAAGTGCGAGAAAGACGCCAAATAAGTCGTTATTCATCTTTCTTACTCGTTTTTCATAATATTATTTTAAGATTAAATTATGTAAAGGAAAAATAAATGACCATGGTACCATGGTTGCTGTAGTTTTAAGAGGATATCCGGACTGCATGAATCTTCATATAATTTTGATAAAACGGAGGAATGCTTTTACATTGACTAAACATAGCTAGGATATCCTCCTGTTTTTTTATATGTATATTGTTATGCAAAACTTTTTTGGGAACCTGTTCTAATGAGGCATCTCCGAGTTTTTCTGCCACCAGAGCAGCGCATCTTACGAATGAGGTGAAATATTTGACAATTCCATAGCGTGAGAAGTATATTTGTTAGAAAAGTGAAGAGAATAATAGTTTTTTTTTAAACATTAGTAAAATTTTATAAGAATTAGATTAGAAATGGATAAACCCAAGTACGGATTCCTAAAAGTAGACGAATTAAAAAACTACATGATGTGTAAAAATTAAATAACACAGCAAATGAGGCATTGTGTTGTGTATACACATACACAAGAAAGCAAAAATCTTATCATTAAAACGCAACTTTTTAATAGGGATGACTGTGTATGCGAAACAAATAAGTTCACCTCAATTCGCACTAGTGACATCTGGTGAGCGTAAGATTACGCATTGTCGTTAACAAACGTAGTTAAAGAGGTCATCGAAATATTTCTATAATTTTACATAATTATAATTACAACAAATATAACTAATGGATGTATTTAATTACAAAAATATACAAAACTACACCTTAGACTAATCATTTTTACACATTTACACCATATTCAATAAAAATGTGATATATAGCCATATAATATAATATATAATTTCTAAGAAAGATTACATCACTCGAGACAATTGGGAAATTATTTAAAAAAATAACCTCGTCTTCTTACCTACCTAGACTTCTTAGGCTGGTAAGTACTAAAACAAAATGTAAATACATTAGCAAGTTACTGACTTCTTTCGGCAAAAATGACCCGTAACGTTCAAAAGTAACAAAAATATAACTTATCTATCGCAGAAAGGGAATTGTAACTCTAAAGTCAAAAATATACGATAGATTTAGTAAAGTTTTATGTACGTACTAACAAAATGCTTAGTATATCTAGTGCAGTCTATAGTCCACTGCTGTACATAGGCTTCTTCCTCTGTATATTTTCTAAGGGGGGGGGGATTCTACCACAGTTGCCACGCTTGGCATTCTCAATTATTTTAATTGTTATCAGGAAGATGTTGCTAGTCATCTTTTGTTTCAGTTTCCCTGTGTTGCCCGCTACGACACGCACGGCACGATATGGGCTAGTAGATGTTCTTACACCGCCACTGCACGATACTTAGTCTAATATTAATATAAACTAGCGCGCCAGGCAGACGTTGTTCTGCCCTTTTCGGCGACCCTTTGTCATGTCCTCTTAAAAATCCTTAAGTTCGCAAAAAAAATTTGTGAGTCACTCATAGGCCAAAAAACTATCCTATCTCTCTTTTCTTTGATTAAAATCGGTTAAGTAATTTTTTGTTTGTGAGGCATTCGCAGCCGAACATGGGCTGAAATACAATGCACAAAAAAGTCAGTATATGATCTTTGGGGCCGGACGGGATCGTACGCGTAATGTGCCTCCTATTAAATTGAATGGCACACCATTAACTAGGGTTGACTCTTTCAAATATTTGGGTCATATGGTTACATCCGACCTCAAAGATACTACTGACATAGAAAGGGAACATAGGGCTCTGTCGGTTCGTGCAAATATGGTTGCACGTAGGTTCGCGAGATGTTCAAGGGAGGTTAAACTCACTTTATTTAGAGCGTTTTGTACATCTCTTAACACTTGCAGCCTGTGGAGGGACTACACGCAACGGGCCTATGGAGCTCTCTGGATCCAATATAACAATGCGTTCCGGGTGCTGATGGGGTCGTCCCGACGCTGCAGCGTATCAGCGATGTTTGCTCAAGCACATATAGATTGTTTTTACGCAACTTTGCGTAAAAGAGCTGCATCGCTGGTGCGTAGGGTAAGGCCCAGCCCCAATGGCATTCTTAAAATGATAGGTGACAGAGTGAACTGTCCCTATCTGCAACATTGTTGTGGACTGCATGTGCCCAGCAGCTAATTAGACTGCTGTTTATGTGCATTACAGCATTTAGTAATAATTAATAGTTTTAATATATTTGTCTCATCATATTTTGTTAAATTATTTGATTTTAATAATTATAATTTTAAAAAAAATTTAATGTAAATAAAAATAAGTCCTGGATACTTGAAATTAAATAAATAATAATAATAATTTAGGAGTCCATCGCGGTCAAACAACGTGACACGTAATTTATTATATATATATATATATATATATATATATATAGATATTAATAATGTGGGTGTCGTAAGAGACGAGTCGTAGAGGGAAACTGAAACCGAAAATAGGGAGCAATATTTTTCTGATAACTAGTTACAACCTGCGGTAGCCAGGCGTGGCAACATTTGTCCTTTTGAACTCACTTTTATTCCTAGCCTCGCATCTATCTATCTATCTATCTTCTTTTAATCAAGATCAAGGACCGATGACAATACAATAATTTATTAACTTTATCTTAGTATCCTGATCAGGATGAAGAGGATAAAATAAAATAATTATCCGGATCATCACAGCTAATGAGCAATGCGTGTTATGTTTTTTTTTTAAATTCTTATATTATTTAAGTTAATAACAAAACACAGAGGATATTTTTGTATAAATTATATCGTCAGAATTCTAAAATTCCCTACACTGTGCACACCATTTGAATGCTTAGCGGTCCACCACTGTGCGATTTACTAGTTTTTTTCCTCGCACCATTTTTTTATGAAATTTTTTACCATCGACGGTTTTTCGGACCGATACGACTTGGGGACCTTCACAGGACGAGCTCACTTCGTTTTAAGCACCTGCAATTCCTCTAGTGTTGCAATTATTTATGGGTGGTAATCACGTACTATCAGCTGAGCCGCACGCTCGTTTGCCGTATGTTCTTATATATAAAAATACTTATGGCTTATGTGATGGAATTCTATGGCTGGATTAACCCTATAACATTGGTTATTCCAACAGTTAGGCACCAATTACTAAATTTCACGATAATTTATGGCGTACCGATCATTTTCTAAATAATTTACAATATTGTTGCTGTGAAAAGATGTTTTGTGATATTGTTGTGATAAGTACAGTAAGTTTCTGAAATATCATTATTTTATAGGTTAAGGATGACTAACGAGCGCCAGTCCACCTGATGGTTACTGTATGCTGTGGCCATAAACAATCCTCGATTAATAATTAAAATGCAGGTGCGTTGTCACCCGAGATAATCGATCATTTTCTTAAATATTAACGATATTGTTGTCGTGATAGGACGATTTGTGACAATGTTGCGATAAGTACATTATAGTTGTTGAAGTATTCATATGTGAATTTGTATTAATAGTGGTTAATATAGCGCATAGCGCCATGTTATGGCACGCTATCTTTCCATAGCGCACAGCGTGTGCTATCTAAGCAGCCGCCACGGCGATATGGCGCTATTAATATCTAGCGGCAACTTCTTCTAGCAGCAGAGCTATAAGGACTGGACGTGTGACGCAAATTTGATCTATTTACGTTTCTTCCCCATCAATTGCCACTTCAGCTTACTGATACATTATGCTGTGTCGGTCACTCATTATAAATTCATCATCACGCAGAGAAACTGTGCATCATAGCCATCTCAATAACCCGCTGAGTATATATGTATTGTACAACAAAATAATACATCAATATACTTATAACTATTTCAAAGAATATACAGAAATGTCAATGACTTCAAAAAATATAAATTCATTACATTACTAGTCTTTCTATTTACATAGTCAACGTTTAAATTTGATTGCTACTATATAACTGGTAAAAATTACAACTTATTAAAATGAAATTGGTAAATGTCATTTATGTATATAATATTACTTAGCTTTTTATTAGCTAATGGTATAAACACATAATAATTTATATTCCGCTCTGGGTTTTCGTCAAAGATTAAGTCTCAGTAAAGTATGAAATGGTAAATATGGAACACTTTTACTTTTTCGAATGATTTGCTTGTGTCACTGGGTCTCATCGGAGACGGACGTTTCGTTCAAAATGGGCGCCGTTGCTGGAGATTTCAGCAGTTTCCTCATCAAGAAGACGATTCCAACTACCAATAACAATATGCCGATTGCCTGAAATTAAAAAGGTACGTTGTATGAAAATGTACCACATAAATGATAGATTTTGAAAATGATGAAATAAGGATTAAAAAGATTCTAGAAGTAGAAAGAAAGAAACAATTTAATTTGGGAAGAAATTAAGTAAAGAAAGAAACATATTTTTTTGAGAAGGAAGATAGAAATAAAAAAGAAAGAAGCATTTTATTTTATGTAGTAAAAAAGGAAGAAAAAAGAAAACCTTTATTTTAGCACCGACCAAAAAATCTTACCTAAAGTACGCGTCAGTCATGCGTCAGTAGCGTATATAGCGTTAGTAGTTTTTTTTTGTTTTCCACTTAGTAGTGATCGTTTTGTTTTGGCAACTATCACATTATTTTCCACACGTTCGGGTTGATTGGGAGAGAATGCCAAAAGGCATGACAACCCTTTGCGATCTTTTTGTGGTGTACAGTAGAGTATAAATAAATAAATAAACTGGTAACTTACAGTGAGCGCGTAGAATCCGTAAGGCATGCTGTCTCGCAAGTTGAGGGCGAAACGAGCGAGACGTGCGTAGTTCTCGTCGATGCGCACCTCCTGCCTGAACCAGAACATCGGCACCAGCACGTCAGCGTCCGGCAGCTGGTTGTTCAGCCTGGAAGAGAATGGCTTAAGTCAATAAGACCACCATTTGTAAATCCGCCCATTGTAGGGCATTCGCCACAGCTAATATTCGCGCGGTGGGAACGGCGAGGCGTCTAGCGACTAAAACAAATGTATAGAAATGTATGGATCAAGCCACGCGCAGCGGCGAGTGGCGAAGCGACCGGCGAAATTTACCGGGCGAACCGCACGGACGACTGGCGGCGCGGCGGGCGACTGAACCAAAAGCATGAATGGCAGACGCGGCGAATAGTATAGGGAACAAAATAGTTTAGTTGTTTTAGCCGCGAAAAAGCCGGGACGTATGGGCCGACAAAAACAACCTAAAATTCTATCAGCATTGACTTTTATTTCCAATTCTGGTTGAATATTAACAGGAATATAATCGAAGGTTTTGTCACTCACTCTGGTATACTCGAAATTTTTTTTCTGGATACATTCGGTATTTGTTGTGGAATTCTCCATCTATAACCCGATTCCTATTCAAATCATGTACTCCGCAATGTCTTCCAAATATTATGTCTTGAATTAAAAAAACAATTACTTTCTCAACAATATCGAGATTACTTTGATAAAGACATTTCGCTCTCAGCTTCGTGGTCCCGTGCGACGCATCGCCGTTCGTGCCGCCAATCCCCGTGGTCAGTCCGTTAATAATGAAAAATGTAGGTAGTTTTGTTTATTAAATTATATTTTTCATGAATGAATGTGTGCTTTTTATTGTATGATGTCGTTTTTGAAAGTTTTTCGAAGTGCATGCGTTGCGAGATCATGAGATAATTTTTCAGTATAACATTAAAATGAGTCATAGAGATGACTTATAGTTACATAGAGACATAACAGAAAGTTCAGTGTGCAGCGATGAGTAATCGTTCAAGTTCTGATTTCCCGAAAAGGGTAAAACGCACATACACGAATGTGCAGTATTTTTTTTTCCGATATTTATACGAAAAATACATACATGTTTAAAATACTTTAGTATAACTCATGTAGGCCAAAATAGCGACAAGTTTTTTAGTCTTTTTTATTAGATTAGTAATCCAAATTCTCAATTATTTTCACCTTCCGCTCCGATATTTGATTTACTAGACCTGGCAACACTAATACACATATATAGCAAAAGGCACTGTTTTCGAAGTGCATGCGTTGCGAGTTCATGAGATATTTTTTCAGTATAACATTAAAATGAGTCATAGAGATGACTTATAGTTACATAGAGACATAACAAAAAGTTCAGTGTGCAACGATGATTGATGATGAACGTGTGCATATATATATATATATATATATATATATATATATATATATATATATATATATATATATATATATATATATATAGCACACGACCTTAGAAAAGCTGCAGGTGTAATCAACGCCGTACAGAAAATCACAGGTGCTGGCAGTCGTTTCATTTGTTTTAATGTCAAGGTAACTGTAAAAATGCATATAGTGTCACAGTGTTAATGCTGCTGTTTTGTATGGTGAGTGAATGGAACCGGAGGCCTTTTTTTCTGGAAACGAGGCATTAGTTAGTTACTTAGTCCCCAGGGCTGACAACGCCTTTATTCTATAAAAAATATCAAGTTCGAGTTAAGTCAAGATGCACTCACGTGATACCAGACACGTGGCGCACCAACAGGTTGATCTGCAGCTGCGCTTGCACCATCAGCGGCATGCCCGTGTACATCTCCAGCGCCAGTTTGAAATTATACTCGCTGAAAATTGAACACAACGCTTACAATCAAACCGTAAAAGATTTAGATGCAAAAAATAATTACTATATTTTAATCTGTGGAGTCCAGTTAACACATCGGATTAGCACATGTCACATTTGTAGACACTCAGAACAATTAGTTTTTAAATATTATTTATAAGAATTATACAAGCCTCGTTACTAAATTACGACATTTCTTAAGATAAATAAATAAAGAGAATTTACGGGTTGTTCTGATTATCCACCCTAGGGTGGATAATCGACAAAGCGAGTTCGTTTATTCACCCTAGACCGAGTAGATAATCGGAATTCATTTTTTGATTGTTGTTCCACCTTTCCATCCCAAGTACAGTTCAACAGAAAATATTACTATACTTTAACATATTATTGATTAATTATTAAAATTTGTTAAGTATCGTACTATTCTCAATACTGTGTTTATATAATTGAAATTAATTGTAGTAAACATTTCTTTTATCATGAGATATCTCCTAGATAAATGACGTAAATTATGTCAAATTGAATGATATGTAATAGAATCATTAAAAGTATTTATTTATTTTTATTTGAAGCGACAGTAGCCTAATGGCAGGGCGCGCACCGCGAACTCAAAAAGGTCGTGGGTTCGAATCCACCATTCGACTACTGGCGTGAACCACTCGTAACACAAGCAATTTAAGCTTACCACGAGTGGTTAAGGGGAATATTAGTAATGTTTATAGCATCGTTAATATCCTTTTAAATAAAAAAAATAAAAAAAAATAAAAAAAAAATCAGTTTTGACCTTTATACAAGAGGTATGTGTATGTATTTTTATAAATATGCTAATGTCTTCTAAGTAATTAATCTTGGGCCAGTTTCTACCATGTTTTTATAAACGACTGTATACAGCCGAGGGGGAAAATCAGCAGAAAAATAATATACGAATTCCGACTATCGACCTCGTCTGGTGTGGATAAACGAAAACACGCGATGCAGGGTATTCACCCTAGGGTGAATTTCTTAGGGTGGATAAAGGGAATAACCCGAATTCATTTCAAATGACGACCTTCCGCCATTATGCCCCTGAAATACGTCCGCTTCGCAGGTTGATGTAGTACTTGAGTGACCGTGTAGACGGCGCTGTTACAGAATTATTTCATTTGTAAAATTTGTTTTAAAAGATTTCTACCTTAAAGTTGCCAACTTATTTGAAAACCTCTGAAATGGGAGTATTCACCTACTGATTTTGTGTGTATCTATTAATTTTAAAATTTTATTTCTCTTTTTACCAATCAAATAATTCTGTAACAGCGCCATGTACACAGTCTGTCGGTTGGTATGGAGTTTATTCAACGGTGCTGTTATTAACGCCGCATAGATTAAGTACATTAGTTGACAGTAAAACAAATGTTATTGACCTTCGTCTGCAGCGGAGTTTGTCCGATACAACTAGGGTTACCAGTTACCGTTTTATGTTTTAGAGAATTATGTTAGATTAAATATAGGACCGTGTAGTGGCGGTGTAAAAACATCCATCACCCCATATCGTGCCGAGCGTGTCGTAAGTGGCAACACAGGGAAAATGCTGCAGTGGACATTTATAGGCTGCGATGAATGGATGGATGGAGTAAACAAAGGACACAGGATCAAATATAGGGTATTATATAATTTTTCAGATCACTAGCGACATATATTCATACGTGGTAGAGTCACGTTGCAGCTATATTACGGTTGTAGCACGAATTGGGCGGCTCGACCGGGGAAGGACCACGCTCCCACAGAATACCAGCGTAAAATAGCTGCTTAAAACTGCTGTGTTTCGAATGATGAGTGTAGAGATCCGGAGACCCTTTATTACTGGAAAAGAGGCATTCCATCTCGGGATTGATAAAACATCTGCATTTTGGTTCTTAATTTAAGATTTAGAAGTTTATGGGCCATAGCATCCATTTACATCAGGTGGGCTGTATGCCAATTCGTCACCCTTAATCTATAAAAAAATAATATTCACTAAAAGGCCAACCCCATAGATTACCTCATAAGGGGGATATTTGTCGCAATTGGTATGCTTGGCAGGCGGGTTGGCAACCTGTTTTTTTTTACTTTTTAGCTACTTTTAGGATGACGAAAAATTCTGACAAAAACAAATCCTGCTGTAACAAAAACGAAAATTTGATAAAATAAGTTGTATTTGGTTATCTCAAATGTTAATGATGACACATTATTGGATACTGCTCAGGCGATGTCGGTGTACGCTATAAGTATTTGAAAGAATTAAATACAAAACATCTCAGTATCATGTATTTGAAATACCAATTACAAGCTAAATTTAAGCAAGTAAAAGAAACAAAAATACGTATTTCAACTAAGGTATTTCATTTTGACGGTTTCGTCGCGCAGTGGCTTAGCAATGAGTTGCAGCGCTAAGGGCCGCGGGTTCGAATCTAGCACGGAACATGTTTTTGTATGGCCCGCAAATAATTTTTCCTTTTTTTTAAATGTACGTGTATAAACTGATGCAGGAGAAAAAACAAGGAGAAAGAGGAGTTCATATTGTGGAATTAACTTATTTTTAAATTACAAGTAATTCACTATAACATAGCCATGCCTAACATTATAAAGCTCCGTACTGACATTAAGTGTTAAAATAAATAAATAAATTTATTATTATTACATGGTTTGTTTAAATATATACATAAATCCATTGTTGGGACACCTTTTAAGTAAATATATGCCTGTGCCCGGATGTCCCGCTATTCCGTAGAAAAATTACAAAAAAAAAATCAAACTTAATATTACTCGATAGATTTACTCTAAAATGAGTAAAAAACAACGTGGGTACAGAACGGAGCAAAACTCTCAACTAAAAGACATGCATCGAACCGTCGCGATGTAATTAATTTAATAAAAATGAGAATTAAACCTTACTCAGTAGGATTAAGTCCGTCAATCTTGTCTGCATAGTAGGGATCCATCCCCGTGAAGTGTGGGAGCGAGACAAAAGCTGGTGCACCGAAGCGACACGACGATACGTTCAGCGCTCCTGATGGGAGACAGTTCTCATCGCGGATTTCATCGCAGTAGCATGCCTAGAGAAAAGAATAAAATTAAAAGTATACAGTGTAATGGCAGTGGCATAATGTTCACCTATTTTGGTAGGGTTGTCACAATAGATGAAGACAAATTAAACAAAACAAACTTAACACACATTACATACGAGAGTGGATTGAAAAGTACTCGGCCTAACACAGATCCATTCAATTCTAAAAATCAAATCTACCCACATTATTTAGTTCAGTTCAGACTAGTTCATTGTGTGAAGTTCGAAACGTGTGCGATAATTAGTTGTGATTTTATAAATTTATTAACAAAGTAATCGGACATAATTTCCGCGAATGGAGCAAATCGAGCAGCGTGCCGTCATTAAGTACCTCCATAAGAAGGGGCTATCATCAAAGCCATCCATGATGACATGGTCAGTACATTAGGCGATTGTGCTCTGTCATATTCATCCGTCAAAAAATGGATAGCAGAATTTAAGCGTGGTAGAGAGAGTGTGAAAGATGAACCCCACTCTGGAAGGCCTTCGACGTCAACTACTGACGAAAATATTAAAAAAGTACTTGATATAATAATGGGAGACCGCAGATTAAAAATTAGAGAGATAACCGAGATTATAGGCATCTCTTATGAACGAACTCAAAACATCATTGTCAACGAGTTGGGTTTCCACAAGGTGTCTGCGAGGTGGGTTCCGCGACTGCTTTCAGTTGAACAAAAAAGGACGCGATTGACTATTTCACGCGACTGTTTGGAGTTATTTGAAGCCGCTGCAGATGATTTTTTGAATCGTTTTGTTACTATGGACGAAACATGGGTTCATTACTGTACACCGGAAACAAAACAACAATCAAAACATTGGAGAAGGCCTGGTTTACCACCCCCTAAAAAGGCTAAGTCGATTTTGTCGGCAAATAAGGTGATAGCTTCAGTATTCTGGGACTCGAAAGGTGTGATTATGATTGATTATCTTGAAAGGGGTCAGACTTTAAACTCTGATTACTACTGCACCTTACTACGTCGTTTACGAGAGGAAATAAAAGAAAAACGTCGAGGAATGCTCAGAAGAAAAGTCCTGTTTCATCAAGATAACGCCCGTGTTCACACGTCAGTACAGTCAATGGCTGAAATTCACAACTGTGGCTTTGAACTGTTACCGCATCCGCCGTATTCACCTGATCTGGCACCATCAGACTTCTTTCTGTTCCCTAACCTAAAAAAGCACTTGGGAGGTCAAAGATTTTCGACAAACGACGAGGTCAAAGCAGCTGTAGACGCATATTTTGACTCTAAGGAAGAATCATTTTTTTTCAACGGTCTAAATGCTTGGAAGGGGAGGTGGCAAAAGTGTATTGAACTTGATGGTGATTATGTAGAAAAATAAAAATATAACTGATTTAGTATGTGTTTATTTTCTTGGTTAGGCCGAGTACTTTTCAATCCACCCTCGTACCAACCCACCCACATACCTACAAATGTTTAGTAAAAGCTTGTAATAACAATTAAAAAAAAAACATGTGTGCAGTTCACACGCGGCAGAAGTGAAACCTTCAAATGAAATGAAATATAAAATAAAAATATTTCACAGCAAAGGACTTATTTAATTTTTCATTTTCAACCACAAGTGCGGCAAAAATATAAGATAAGAGTTTCATTTTATAGCATTATATATTTATGTAACAAACATTACTTATAGACTGTGATTTTAGTCTTCTTTCAAATAAAATTGCTTTGTAATAGCGCCATCTACTAAATTATATTGGTAAAGTCATTTTATCGAACAAAATATACATTTTATCGATATAAACACGAATAATTTAATATAAATAAATAAGTTATGAAATCTTCGATTGTAATGAAGGGATTGATTAAAATCAATATGGTTAATTTTATTTATTTAATAATTTGTTATGTTTAGCCGTTTATTTTAACAGTTAAAATGTATATTAACTATCTTTAAAGCTCCGCACAAAATATTAGCTTAAAAATAATAATTGAATGACAGATTCGTACCCACAATCTTTTGAGTTCGCTGTCCGCACCCTGCCATTAGGCTACGTTTGCTTACTACACTGTATTCTATCTCATTCTCACTCAGATTGAATACTATAAGTAGATATATTATACGTTTGTCTCTTTTTTGTTTCATCCAGTTTCAAATCACAATGATGCTAAAGAAGTTTTCACTTCAAAAAGGTAAAACTACACCGTGTAGTACTCTTATTAAAAAAAGGATCATACAAAAAATAAAGGTAGGGGTAGGGGTAAAATAAAGGTAGGACTTGAAAAAGTAATAATCACATATTTACTTACTTATTTTACTCCTTGGGATAGTTAAAATATAGTGATATAATAAATAGTGATATATTTTTATTTTTTCTAGTCTTATTTATACACACAGTACAATATACAACCATTATTAATAATACCACGTTTCTTACGTTAAAATATTCAAACTTGTAACAAAACGACGTACGTCGCACTGACCCTAAGATTGTCCACTGGCTGTGCCAGCGTAATCGGTTTTTTTTAAATCTCACCGCGTACGCGACAAGCGGCCAGTGGTCACGCACACATGCCCCGCGTGCTTGTAGTAGTGCAACCGATTCGCGCGGTTGAATGAAGCTTTATCTCTGTTCCGTTTATCTACTCATGTGGTAACACTTTTCACTTCCCCATATTGTCCCCATAGCGTGGCTGTCGTATGGCAGAGGCACACAAATCAGGAGATGGGCAGCAGCCTCTTCCTAATAACGACTAAAAATAAAAAACTGCGATTGCCAACCGCTTGCCAAGCGTTACAACTATGGCTCACCTAATGGTAAGTATGTAAGTGACAAATATCCCATCTTTGAGGCAATCAATGGGAGAGGCCTATGTTCAGCAGTGGACTTTAATAACACAGGACAGTAACGGTAACGGTATACAACTAGACGATCGGCCTGAGTTGGGTTAGTAGCATGAGTTAATATTTGTGCAAAAACGTAAATGATTGATTATTAGGTCAGATCGAATCAGTTTCCGGTACTGCATTCATTTATTGCCATGTAATGGCTGCGTAAGAAAATCATCCCGTGGTTTTCGTAATAGGCGACATTCATTACACCCTATCGAAGTCCGCTGGTGTAAATAGGCCATCCCTCATATTGCCACATAAGGGATATATTTGCCACAGTTACCACGCTTGGCAACCGCAGGTTTTTATTTCTCTTTGTTATTAAGATGACGCTGCTGCACATATTTTGGTTCGTTTCCCTCTGTCACCTGTTACGACAGCCACAAGAAGATATGGGGTAGTGGGTATTCTTTACACCGTTACTACCTATGTACTACATCACCCCACGAGGGCAATATACCCGAAGTTAAAAGGTTGGCAATGTTACAACCGCGTACCTAGGAAAGCACGTGAAGCTTGACCTGATCGCTCTTCGGTCGTGCCGGATCACCGTCCCATCGGACTATGAGAGTTAGGGAATAGAGCGTGCAACTGCGCTTGCGCATACACTCGTGCAGTACAATCCAGTCTCCGAATGGCCGTCGTGACCGAAATTCGGTCGGAATTTTTATTATAATTATGAGATCAATCTAAATTGTATTTTGGACTTTTCATAGGCTATAACGGTAACGGCAGTAAAAGAGTTACCGCGTAAATAAGATGAAGAAGAACAATTTAAAATAACTAACCTTGTTTGGGTATCGGTATCCGTTGTCGAATATAGAGTCGTTGGAGGCGTACTGCATCCCCTCAATGCCCTCGACGGCGATCGGATTGCTAAAGGGCAGGGTTAGGTACCTGATAAAGAAAGGAAATTCTTTATTACAAGGACCATCACTGGCAGCAAACACACGTGGTACCAGCGTAAATTAGCAGCTTATTGTAGAGTACAAGAGACCGCTTTCGACTGGAAGTGAAGCATTCCATCTTAGTCCTTAGGAGTAATGTATATTGGAAGCATAAACCGTTGACGTACACAACATAAATTAACAAATACGTAATAACGTATATCGTATTTCATTCCAAATCAAAAAAATCATTATCACTATGTATAATCAGTTAATCTTTTAAAGCTTCATTAAAATATCGATATTACATCCTCACATGTCATATAACATACTTTGTTAGTACTTAAAATAATATCTAAAAATACAATATCGGTACGTCTGTTAGTGATCGTATAACTTAGTCCTGTGATCTCAGTTGATCAGTCTGTTTATTTACTTATTTCTTAAAAAAACTGTCTTAAAGAGGTTTAAGATTTTAAATGAATTAAAATGTTTAAAATTCGGAATGGAAGAGGATTATAACACTCTTGCAATCTTTACGTGGTAGAGCCATGCTGATGCATTTTATAGTTATAGCACGAATGCAGCGGCTCGACCGGGAAAGAACCACGCTCGCAGAGAATACCAGCGTCAAATAACAGCCTGATGCTACTTTGTTTCGTATAGTGAGTGTAGTGTACCGGAAACCCTTCTCACTGAAATCGTAGCATTCCATGCATGTTGTTTCTTAATCAAGGATAGACCTAGATATCAGTGGGTCACAGCATCCATTTACCATTAGATGAACTGTGTACATGTTTTTCAAACTTATTTTATAAAAATAATACCAGGATAGCATCACTCACGTGCAAATGTCAGGCGCAAAGACGACCACCTCCGGCTGACCAAGTTCAGGTGCCCACAGCTCCCCTGTGGAACCGCGCACTTCGCCACATTCGTCTCTGTACATTGTGCGGTTCGAGTTTCGCCACATCTCCACGTTGCCCAGCTGCGAGAAGTCCGAGGCGCCGGTGTTTATAACAAATACACCATCGTACTCTTGAGACCCATTGCGCTAAAAAAAATTGAAAAAAAAAAAACTAAATAAAACAAACTTATACAGTATTCAGCACAGTTACGTTCAGAGGCGGTGTAAGAATATCCATAACCCCATATTATACTATGGGTGTCGTAAGAGGCGACAGAGGTAAACAAGTCAGGAGATGGGCGAGGATGCTGCTCTTCTTAATAATGACGGTTGCCAAAGCTCCAAGGTGAGCGATATACGGGATACCGTCAATTCGCTTAATAAGTGTGGTGATTAACGCAAATCTCTCCCTTCTATGGAAGAGGCCTAAGCTCTTATTACAGCTCTTAATAAATCTACTGTTGAACATAAGACGTCCCCACAGATTGCTTCCATAGGGGGATGTTGCCATAGTTGCCACGCTTGACAGGAAGATTGGCAACCGCAGATTTTTTTGTATTCAGTTGCTATCAGGAAGATGCTGCTGCCCATCACCCACGGAATGATATGGGGTAGTGGATATTTTTACACCGCCACTTCATGGTGAAATGGACTTTCATTGGTTGATAACGAACAAGAAGAAACACGTTCATCTCTCCATGTATGTCTACTCAAAAGGTTGTCAATCTATGACACATGTGGCCAGCCTATTTTCACTTTCACTTTACGCGGTAGAGCCATGCTGCAGGTATATTATGGTTGTAGCACGAATGGATCGGGGATCAAGCTGTCACAGAATACCAGCGTAAAATAGCAGTTTCATGTTCCTGTGTTTTGTATGGTGAGTGTAGAGAACTGGACACCCTCCTTACTGGAAACGAGGCAGTTTGATTCTCAAATGAGAATAAATGTAGATGTCTACGGGCCACAGCATTCACTTACTATCAGGTAGACTGTATGCTAATTTATCACGCACATTTTATCGAAAAAAAAAACTTCAGTTTACAAACACGAAAGGCAAATATTCTTGTTTGCCAATGACCTTGGTCAAGCATAATCGATAAGTATGAAAAGGTATTCTGTTCAGTCTAGGAGTTCTTCTGGATTGGTGACCAACCTCTTAGCAATTTCAGCCGGCAAACAGCAGTGCTTGCACAGCTGTGGTCCGGTCTGAAGCGTAAAGAGAGCCAGTAAAATACCAGGCTGTAAGACATACCATCTTAGTCTTCAGGACGTAGCGTGGTCACGCATTAGTAGCCTTCTTTGTTTGAAGTTGGCAGCAGGTTTCACTTACCATCAGGTGGACTGGACTATAAGTTTTTTTTTAAATACGATAGGGTAACAAACGAGCACATAGTCCAATTGATGGTAAGTAGTTGCTGTGGCCCATAGACATCTACCCTCGATTACGAATCAAAATGCAGATGTATTGTCACCGATGAGGACTAAAACGGAATTCCTCATGGGTGACAATCCATCCAGTGAAAAGGGTCTCTGGTTCTCTACACTCACCATACGAAACACAGCACCATTAAACCACTATTTTATTTATTTATTTATTTATAAGGTACACCAACAGCAAAACACATGAAACATTAACAACAACACAATAACAAATGTATATGGTTAAATATGTTTGCCAATTACAGGTATACACAACATTTACCGTAATGTGTAGCTTATTATATTATAATGGTACTGATTACAAAATAACTGATATTAAGAAAAAACTAACTAAGGAATGTGTGTGTGCTGAGAGAGTGAAAAGAAATTGGTAAATTTTTTTTTGAAGCATCGGGCATATTCTTTAAAAAGGTCGATGTCCCGTGTCTTGGTCATAATTTCATTGTATGTGTTATATATTCTGGCTAGCGGATAATGCGCGCCTAAATTAGTTTTGTGGCAAATTATGCTAAATAGTTTTCGAATTGGATATCGGGGATATCTGTACGGGATAACTAAACTGATGTGATCGAGGAGGTGCGTACTTTTGATTTTGTTATGCAGTAACTTGTGTAGAAACATTAAGTCTGCAATGCAATTTTACGCTGGTATTCTGTGAGAGCGTGGTCCTTCCCCGGTCGAGCCGACCCACTCGTGCTACAACCATGATATAACTGCAGCGTGACTCTACCACGTAAAAGTTCATTCGTCACGTCGTTTAAAAAATTGCAAAAATAATTTTTGTCTGAAACAATTCTAGCATAATATGCCTTTCACTACAGTCTTAAACAATATATTTTTAGTATTAATAGCTCTCCATCCATGTCCTTGCGTGCTGGCTCCAAATAGAAAGCTATCGGTGGGGAGTTTCAAGTGGATTGAATTGGAAATTCTTTCGTTGAAAACACGCAGTGCGGTATGTCTCATAGGCGGCTAATGAGGGCATCCACTTTAGAATGATCTCATTTTTTTAGAAAATGTAAATTTTCAACCTTAATTTTGTAACATTAGTTATATTTTACGTCTAAGAGCCACGCTGCAGCTAAATTATACTATTAGACCACGCTGTCACAGAATACCAGCGTAAAATAGCAGCTTAATGCTGGTGTGTTTCGTATGGTGAGTGTAGAGAACAGGAGACACTTTTTACTGAAAAAGAGGCATTCCATCTTAGACCTAATTTAAAAAAAAAACTTATTATACCTGTTGGCAAGTGGTGATGAAAAAAATATTATATAGTATGTTGACAGGGTTTAAGATAAAATTTATTGATACAGATACTAGCACAGTTGTAAATTGCAATTACATGCACCTCATTAACATGGAATTCACGTGTGTGACTAAGATTTTTAATGCAGTTTGCCCTCCTCAAGGTTTAAAACGTCTAATATTTAGACCGCATATCATAAAACAAAATCTTATTCAATTTTTACAGGATAGGATGACACACGAGCACATAGTCCATCTGATGATAAGTGGCTGATGTGGCCCATAGACATCTAAATCTATCCACGATTACGAATCAAAATGCAGATGCGTTGTGACTCGTGAGGACTAAGATGGAATGCATCGTTTCCAGTATAAAGGATCTCCGTTTCTCTACACCCACCATACGAAACACAGCAGCATTAAGCTACTATATTACGCCGGTATTCTGTGAGATTGGTAAAAATATATTTAATAAGCTTGAAGATGAAATAGAAAGTTGTATACCTATTCTATATATACGAATGAAATTGAAGTATCTTTTAGTAATATCGAAATAGCTGCGTTATATTGAGCAGAAGGGGTAATTAACGTAAATAAAAAGTTATCTGCCTGTATGTTTGAGCCAGTCTTCGGAACAGCTGAACCGATGGTAAAGAAACTTCACGAGCAGATAGTCAGCAATGCTAAGAGCGATTTAGGTTACGTTTTATCGGAAAAACTTAAGACGTTTATAAAACAAACGAACAATTAAAAATAAATGGTTTTCGATTATCTAAAGTCCAAATAACGTCTCTCTCCCAGGCGAAACCGCTAGTTATAAATTAAAAACCTGATTGTTATCGTAATGCATTTATAATGTAAGGGATATTTTTTTAATTACCTTATATTGCATAACCATAATTTTATAATATTGCATTTAGTTGTCATGTTGTTTTAATCATATTATGTAGATTAGGTACTCTTTTGACAGTTGTGATTTTAATTTGATTAATGTATTGTATTTAATTTGAATAATTATGAAAATAATTATTCTTATGATACAATATTTTTCGCGTAAACATCTGAAGTATGTGCATATAATAATTTGTCATAATTTATATTAAATGTTTCAACAAATAAAGAATATTAAATAAATAATAATGATTTTTCTATTCACTTTTATATGAAGATAAAAAAGGATGACTGGTGTTATTGTCACTTTTACTTATATAAAAAAAGAAACAATAAACTGAGCTTGGTAATCAGCCACTTCAACGGGAAGAGTTTCATAGTCAATTTTACTAAAATAAAAAAGAATAAAATGAACTCGGTGTTCAGTCGCTTCTTACGACACCAACAGGAGGAGTTTTATAGTAGAGATGTCGCGAATAGTTGTTATAGCGAACAATCGAATAACTCGCCCTTATTATTCGAAATAAAAAAATAATAATATCACGCTTGCGTAGTAGTCTTGAGCTTACCTTTATTTCTTTGTTACCGTAATCTAAAAAAATTCTAAGGAGAAGTATGAAAAAATAAAACGATGAAGTTAAAGAGTTCAGTCTCTAATTATACTGATTTTACATTTTTAAATGATAACAACCCTTTTTTTACTTCCTATTTTACGGCGAATACCTTGCGTTTAATACTGTAGGGGATTTCCCACCCAATCGATTTCGCTTGTGTGGAACTTGTTTTTCCTTTCCATCAGGGCATGGCTTCATACATACCCTCCAGCTGGTGACAAATGTTGCATTAAGAAACAGTCCCCCAATGACAGAAATTCTGACTAGTTCCCACCGCATTGTGACACATTTCAATTACTCGGTATATACAAAGTATTCAATCTGAACTCTGATTCGAGATATTCAAACTCGCTGGAACTCAACATATTACCTAAGAATGTTTTTCTTAATCATCATCATCATCATCATCATCACAGCCCTTCACAAGTCCACTGCTGAACATAGGCCTCCCCCAAGTAATGCCACAAAGCACGGTCCTGAGCCACCTGCATCCATCGACTTCCTGCATATCTTACCAGGTCGTCACTCCATCTGGTGGGGGGTCGCCCTACACTACGCCTACCGGTACGAGGCTGCCACTCGAGAACCTTTCTTCCCCATCGGTTATCGGTTCTTCGAGCTATATGGCCGGCCCATTGCCACTTCAGCTTACTAATCCGTTGGGCTATGTCGGTCAATCTGGTTTTACTGCGGATATCCTCATTTCTGAGTCTATCACGCAGAGAAACTCCGAGCATAGCCCTCTCCATAGCTCGCTGAGCGACCTTGAGCGTCCTCATACGGCCAGCAGTGAAGGACCACGTCTCTGATCCGTAAGTCATCACTGGCAACACGCACTGGTTGTACACTTTAGTTTTCAGAGATTGAGGTATACCTGACGAGAAGATATGTCGTAATTTCCCGAACGCTGCCCAGCCGAGTTGAATCCGTCGATTGACCTCTCGGTCGAAG